CCAAGCCGGGAGGAGCTGTGTGTGCCCCGGGATCATTCTAAAGTCACTAAGGAAACAACCTCTAGGTGATTCTCTCTACGGGTCCACTGAGAAGAAAAGGGTCCTTCTTCCTGTGAGGCCTGGAGATAAAAGGAAAAAACCAAAAAGGCCAGCTGCACAAGCCACCACAGCCAGCTACTGTAGGCAGCCCTTAAAAAGAAGGCAAAGACACCTGTCATTTCTTCCCACCATACAGACCTGGACAGAGCAAGAGAGCACCTGCCCTGCTCCTTCCCTCAGTCTTCCAGTGAGGGCGCCCGTGTCCTAGGATTTGTAACTGCAGCCCAGAAGAAAACTGAGCTCGGAGAAGCATGCAGGGAAATTTAGCGCAAGAATGTGGACCCCTGATTGCTGCGGGCCTTTGCCACACGCCTCACGCAGAGGGAACAGGAAGCTTGGGCAACCGAAGATGCAATGCGCTGGCCACGTGCTAAGGTTTCCGGACGTGGCTGTAGATTTTGCTAGTCAATTTTCAAACTTCTTTTAACCCTAACACATCAAGTGTGAGGTGGGTTCCGTCTGTGGTGTTCTACCCTGCAGTGGCTGGATACAGGTGGTGTGGAGACGGAACTCAAGCCTATTCCTCCACAACCCTCTTAGGGGAAACCTGGAGTGGACAGTGCTGAGGGAAGGAGTGGTGCGCAGGGACTGAGCTCGGCAGGTGCCGACGAGCTAGCGTCTCACAGCCGCAGCCGCTGCTGCTGTGATGCTGAGACCCTTCCAGAACTCTGAAGACCCAAACAGAGCTGCGCCATGTTCAGAAGCTTCTCCCTCCAGTTAAATTATAGTTGCCTAACACAAAATAGACAAACAAGCAGTCAAGACAAATTTGCAAGCTGCTCAAGCCAATGTGAGCATTTTAACCTTTGTATCAGTAAACTCTGAGAATACTTAAAAATCAAGTAAAACACACATATATACACACAGAGGTATAAACCAGTGCAGTAAGAACTTCAGATAAGGGCAGTGCAGCTCTGGTTTAAGGAAACCATTTTTGTAGCTTAATTATAACAACCCTATTTTAAGTGATAGTTTGATTTTACATCCAACATTTGATATATATTTTATATGTATGGCCAAAAACCTGAAAAATCAACACAATAGTAACAGTGCCCTATCAGTGACAAATTCGCACTCTGATTCTATATTGCACATATTTTTAGTATGTTCTCTTAAAATGAACTTAACTCTCATAAATATCAGAGAATCATACCCCTTGCTTTTTTTTTTTTTCATACCCCTTGCTTTTGTACAAAGAACTTATCTCCCTTCTTGACAAAGCAGAATGAGAATGAATTCAGTTTTGTTAGGCCCAAAACCGTTTTAAAGACAATGGTTACTTAATGGGCAAAGGTAATGGAAATGGCCAGTTAAACACAAAGTTCTTGGTTTACCCACCAAAGCTTTGCAAACATTTCTACACTGAGCGCTTAAAAGCCTCTGTTTTTTTTTTTTTAACCATCAACTATTCCCTAAAGAGACTCTCATGTCCTGGATTGGGCTGGAGCACGGTGCGCAAAGTGGAGTGGAGGAAGCTCAGTGAAGGGCCTGTGACAATGGCATTCGCTAGGTCAAGGATGTCACCTAAAATGAAATGACTAGCACCTCCTTCCTGCTCCCAAAGCAAAGGGCTGCCCAGCAGGCCACATAAAATAGGTGCGACTGCAGCGAGTGTTGTTCCACGGTACTGAGAAAGCCACGGCACGACAGGGGTCCCAAGCCAAGCCCTGAGTTCCAGGCTTCTTGGTAGAGGTGAACAGAAGGGTCAGAGAGAGGCCACTGCAGCTGCACAGGTCTCCGGGAGCTCAGGGGCTCTCATGCGGCCCATCCTCCGTCTCCAGCTCGGCCAGCTGCCTCCGCAGGATGTTGACCTTCGCTTGCAACTCCTTGTTATACTCAATGATGTTCACCATCTCCTCATATGCCTCATCCAGGTACTTGGAGGACCTGTTCCACCGTAGGAAAATTCCTAGAGTCCAGAAGGAGAAAGATACGTTCAGCCGATCTGCACTGCATTAGAAGGAAATGCAGTTTACGTCTTAGGCTCTCCACTTTTCCCTTTTCTCCCCATGACTCGCGCCAGGTTTACTATAATCTAAAGTATACAGGAATCTTGAGGTGCTGTGAGGATCCAATTAAATAGGGTACCAAGATCTTTATATAGTACATGTTCATTAATTCATAAAAATTTCACAAAATTAGCAAATGAAAATGCTGTTTGTTCTGTGATGTAGGGAGAAGCTAGGCATTCACTGTGCTAGAAACTTTCTAGCTTCACAGTATGAATGCTTTGTTCTCATAATTGTCCAATTCTGCTCAGGCCTGCGAGACCTCCTACAAGTCCGGAAGCACCTTTCCTGGAACGGCTTAGCTCCAGAAATTCAAGCTCACCGACTGCTATGCAAACTCGACAGCAGCACATGCACACACAGTGGGAGGCAATGTCCTATTCTCTAGGCAATTGCTGCTCTCCTCAGACAGTAATTGCCCTCTCACAATGTGCTCCAAGGATACACACTTGTCCCTCAGCATCCTGGGCAACCCAAATCCAGAAGCACAGTCCTTTATATAAAAATGTCATAATTTGTATATAATGCATGCACAACCTCCTGCATATTTTAAATCAGCTCTAGATTACTTATGATAATAAATATAATGTAAATGTTATGGAGATAATTGTTATAGTATACTCTTCAGGCACTGAAGACAAGGAAAAAAGTTTGCATATGTTTAACACAGATGGGTTTATAAAAAAAGATTTTAGATTCACAACTGGTAGAATCAGTGCCTGTGTAACTCCTAGACATAAGGCTGTTTTAAAGATTGACCGGCTTTGTTTCTTTTATTACATAATTATTCCATCCTTCAATATAGAAATTGCTATTAATGCATTATTATGTAAATATGAGTATTAGGAAGATTTAAAGGCCAAACAGTGCAGCTGGGTGCAGTGGCGGACTCCTGTAATCCCAGCATTCAGGAGGCTGAGGCAAAAGGATCACCATGAAGTAGAGCCGGCGTGGGCCATACAGCAAGATCCTTTCTCTAGCCTCACCCCCCAAGAAGGCCAAGATGCAGGGCAGTATCTACCACCGATCTACCTCACACAGACCCTCCTCCAGCCCGACACCTCCTGGGCTCTGATTCACTGCTGACTACGTCTCTGTTCTCAAAGCGTGGTAGGAATTCACTCCCCTGACAAAGTTTTCCTTCTATCACCTCATCTCTAAAGATCCAGGGCATTTGGTAAAAAACAGCTAGCTGGCCATGCAACTCCCAAATCCAATAGCTCAGTGGGTAAGATGGATACCCAAACTGAGTAGAGAGAAGCAGTCCTGCAGACACACAGGATGAGAGGGACAGGACGTGACAATGATAGCCAGAGAAGGGGTGGAAACAGACCCGGATGGCAAAGCAGCCCAAGAGCCCCTTGCACAAAGGCAGAGCTTTCAACTCCTGGTGATCCTCCTGCCTTAGCCTTCCAAGTGCTGGGACTATAGGTGTGCACCACACTCCCAGAAGGGAACTTTTTTTAAAAAAGCTTTCTACTTAGGATACCCTTCAGGAGTCTGAGAAATTAGTATTTGTAAAAAAAAAAAAAAGTACTTTGAAATAATTTGAAGATTCTACACTGGTTATTGTTCCACACAATGAGACAGCAGAAAATTCTGCACCAATGGTATTTTGTGTCTGCTTCTAGACCCACTGGCCATGTAAGCATCTGATAGGTAGGGTCTGTGTCTAGGTGTCCCTTCAAAGCCTCATGTGGTCAAGGCTCAGCTTCTGGAGTTTGTGATTATTATTTTTTTCTTTTGTGTGATTGCTTACTGTGGGTGTGGGTGCTGCACCCGCCCTGGGCAGGGAACTTGCTCTACCGTGTAACGAGGGGAGAGGCTGGCCAGCTGCCTGAGCTGCTGCCGCTCCCTCGGCTCTCTGCCCTTTGCTACCACCATGAAAGGTCGCGCTCTGCCATGTGCCGCTCTGTGGAGCTGGCTGAGTATGGGCTGAATCCTCCAGTAACTGTGAGCTAAATAAACCTTTCCTTCCTTCATTTTGAGTGACAAGTATTTGTCCCAGCAATGACAGAAGAGTAACTGAGAAAGAATTAGGTATTGGAGGAGTGGGATTGTTGCTGTGGCTAAACCTATGTGGATTACAAACTTTTGGGAATGGCTTATATGAAGAGACAGGAAAGGGTGGAGATGTTGCCTATGAGAAAAGCACTGGAACAGCTTCAGCTGTTCTTTTTTGTGAGATTCTGATCAGCGCTCAGAAGCCTGATAAGGCTGATAAAAAGCCTGCCTATAAAGACCAGGCTGGGGAGGTTTCTGCTGGGAAGAAGGACTGCATTGGTTGTTGGACTCCAGATGATTTGTGTTATGGCTTGACGGAAAGTTTGTCTGCATTTTGCTTGTGTCCAGAGACTTTGCCTGAGACTGAGATTAAGCATGGTGGACTGATTAATCTTTCAAAATAAATGTCAAAGCAGCCCAATATTGAGGCAGCAGCATGGCTGTTGTTGGGGTTTTTAGCCAGATTTATGTTGAGCACCAAGAGCAAAGAGCCCACCATGATCCATTAAAATGTGAGTTTGGCCAGAAAGAAAGCTACAATATGGGGGCCCGCCCATTAGGTCAGTTGTTTAAGTGCCTGCTTAAAAAAGCAGTGAGGTTCAATTTCCACTGGTTCGAACCCAGATACTCCAGCCAAACCAGAAATGATCTGAGGGCCTGTTCAGGCCTCCAAAAAAAAAAAAAAAAAAAAAAAAGAAAGCTACAATACTGCAAAGATACAGCTGAGAGGATTTCCACTGCTGGGAAGGAACAAGAGAATGCAAAGGATGGCCTGAGGACATCACTGAAGGCATAAGTTCTCCACCCTTTACAGCCTCAGATTTGTAAGGGAGAGACTTTGCCTTGAGGGGAAAGCCGCAGAGCCCCATGTTCCAGAATGGCAACAGTGGCCTCACGCGGTTCCACAATGGTGCCAGCATGGAGACTTCGTTCCTCGGAATCAGGGTCAGAGTGCTCAGCCATCCAGGCACTCGACCCCTATGGCCAAGAGGGAGGAAAGCCTGGCTACTGCTCCGGCCGGCAGCAGACCTTGGCATCATCCACGTGGCATTGGTTTTAGGCCCTTGCAGAATGCAAGAGTTCTGAGGTTAAGAAGGCTTCCACCTCGGGGCTGGTGAGATGGCTCAGTGGTCTAAAGCAACTACTTAGAACAGGCTTAGCAAAGCACAGGGACTGCGATTCAATCCCCAGCACCACATGCCAGCCAGCCCCGCCCCCTGGTGGGCTGAGCTGGCCACACACACACACACACACATAAATAAAATTAAATAAAATTTAAAAAAAAGAAGGCTTCCACCTTGATTTCAGAAAAAGGCCTGGGAGGGCAGTGTGTGAAGCTGTGAGTGAGAAGCCTATTCAGTGGAAACTCCAGAAGTTTGGAAAAGCCAGAGACATGGATCGTCTAAGGGACTGCAAGGAGGGAGCAAAGCCAGCCTAAGAGAGAAGCCATGGGAGCTACCACTAAAAGTAATGTAGAGCAAAACCATATAAGGCTTTTGGAGCTCACAATTTACCACAGATTAATTCAGATATTTCACATGGAACTAAAGGACTTAGTTCTGCTGGATTTTGGATTTGTGTTGGTTCCAATGCCTTGTATTCCCCTGTTGTTTGTACATTTTGGAATGGTAATGTTTATCTTGTGCCACTGAATGCAGGAAGTGTTTAATTCTTCATTTGTACAGGAGCTCAGAGCTAGGAATTTGCTTGAATCTTGGAGGAGACTTGGGATTTGGACTTCTCAGCAGTGCTAAAACTATTGGGACTTCGGCAACTCTTAAGAGATGGACTAAAATGCCTTTTACATAAAGGGAGGTGCATGAGTCTTTGGGGGCCCAGGGGCAGAATGCTATGGTTTGTGTACAGGTGTCCTTCCAAAGCCTCATGCTGTCATAGTGCGGCTTCTGGAGTTTGTGATTATTGTGGGCATGGATGCTGCACCTGCTCTGGGGTGGGTAATTTGCATTACAATGTAAGGAGGGGAGAGAGGCTGGCGAGCTGCCTGAGCTGCTGCCACTCTCTCTGCTCTCTGCTCTGTGCCACTGCCATGAAATATTGCTCTCTGCCATGTGCCACTCTGCCTTGGAGCCAGACTGAAACCTCCAGTAAGTGTGAGCTAAATAATCTCATTTCCTTCATTTTTTTTTTTTTTTTTTTAAATTTAAGACAGGGTGTACAGGGTGCACAGGATCTCACTACGTAGGTTGGACTCATAGTGATTCTCTTGTTTTCAGCCTCCCAAGCGCTGGGATTACAGGCAGGCGCCACCAAGCCCAGTCTTTTTTTTTTTTTGGCAGAACCAGGGATTGAACTCAGATCCTTGTGCTTGCCAGAGAAGCGTTTATTCTACTGAGCCATCTCCCTGGCCCCCTTCTATGCCCAGTTTCAACCGCAGTCTCAGTGTGGCCCATGGGCAGGGCCAGCCTGGCATACCTGGGCTCAAACCCCAGCCACTGCACTCTGCCTAACCAGGTGCTTTAGTCTGCTGACCTGTCTGGCTGGCCTCCTTCCTTCATTGTGAGTGTCAGTTATTTGTCCAAGAAATGAGAGAAGAGTAACCGAGACACACGGGAACCTACCTCAATGACAGCTTCATAAAGGAAAACAGAACTGTCTACCAGGACCTTATAATTTATGTCTCAACTACCCATCAACTCTATTCTGCAAAAAATAACATACTGGCTGGGCATGGAGGCATACATCTGTAATCTCGGCACTCTAGGAGCCTGACACAGGGGAACCCTAAATCGGGGCCCAGAATGGGCAACTCAGCGACTGAGGAAGATCCTTATCCCGTCCCACCATGTACAGGACTGAGAAGGTAGTTAGTTCAGTGTGAAGGTTCAATTCCCAGCATACAAAAAAGGTGTGTGTGTGTGGGGGGGGTACTTTCTTATCTAGGAAAATCTGAATACAACAAGATAAAGGGCAGTGTCTTAAATCATCTTAATTTTCCCAAGGAGGACTGAAGACTGGGCCAGGGTGATAAAGAGAACCAGCCCACAGCAGGGAGGCGCTCTGGTTGCATGCAGGGCTGCAAAGGGCGGCAGTGCATGAGCAGGCAGGGTCAAGGCCTGGGACACCTGCTAGGTTATGGGCTGAGTACAGACTGCTAATTTATCAAGGCCCTGAGCCAACATGGCTGAACCCCCAAAACAACAGTTCATCTTCCCATTGCCTCCTCCTTCCCCACTGCAGCCCTGGATATACCTCCTTCTACACCCACACAAGGGAGCCTCCAGTCACACTAGACCTGCCCCTCAAGCTCCGCCCCGAGCAAAAGTCCATGAAGTCTCGTCCTCCCTGTCCCAGGTCAGAGGATCTGCCCAGCTCCTTGCCCTCGATCCTCTTCCTGTGTTCAGAGTTAATAAAGGCTTCCCCCCACCTCCATTTCTGCTTCTCTGCCACGCCGCCACTGCCGCCACCATAGCTGCTGTGGCTAAAACCTATCAGTACCTTCCCACAGCTGCAGGCTCTGCGGGGCCACCGACGGCCAGATGACCAGGTTGTTGGCTTCAAAGAGAGGGTTGGTGAACTGACTCAGCTCGTTGGGCCGGTTGACCCAGGACCACAAAGACATCGTCTTCTGAGGCAGCTTCAGCTTACATCTGAGCGAGAAAGAACATGTCCATTAAGGCAGCAGATTTACTATATCTGCTCCTCAGCCCCCCTTCTTAAGCTCCCCAGGAAGGTGCACTTCTTTTCTCTATGTGTGTTGCAGTACAGCTTTACAACTCTCACCATCCCCAAAACAAAGACTTTAAACTTGAGCAATGGTGGTGAGCCCCCAGCGTGTGCCACAGGGGACGTCTGAATCACCGGAGTGCTCAAAGTTCCTCATTACGGATCTAGAGCACATGGATCTTGGGCTTGTCGTATCGGGTTGTGTTGTCATTTAAAACAGCAAACTATTATACTCTGGTTTCTCTTCAGATTGTATAAATCTTTCGCCTTTTACTAAAATAGCAAACTATAAGGGGCCAGCCAAATAGCTCAACAGATTAAAGTGCTTGGGGCTGGGGGTTTGATCCTCTGGCCTACCATGCTGGCCCCGGCCCTGGGTTGTGCTGAGACAGCAATTGAGACTGGGCATGGTGGCGCACACCTGCGATCCCAGCTCTTGGGGGGCTATAAACAGGTGGATCACTACGAGTCCAATCTAAACACCTGTAGACCCTTCCCTAAAATACAAAAAAGGGCAAACTATAAATAGCTTTCTGACTCTGCTTCCAAGATGCCTATTAGATGGATAGTCACAAAAAGCATACGGAATAGATTTAAAATAAAAGTAGATCAAATATCAAAAAAAGACTGCATTTTTTTAGAGTATGTGATAACTTTTAGGAAAAATAAATGCCATATACATAAAATAAACTGTCAAAGGTTAAATATAAATGAAATCTTAACGAAAAGACAAATTTAATCTCCAGCCATACGTAATGAACAGTGCTCATAGTAACCCTGATACTAAACTGTAAAACTCTTCGTGTGAAATGAAGTGGACTGGCTTTTTAGGGGGGGAATGAACTCAGGACCTTGTGCTTGCCAGGCAGGCACTTATGCTGCTGAGCTGTCTCCCCGACTCAGATTGGCATATATTTGAAAAATTAAATTTTAACAAAGACTGAAAGACAGCCTGTGGTGATGCTGACATTAACTAAAAAGAGAAATCATAGGACACCAGCTTAATTCTTTTCTTGGGGCCAGCTATCTCCTGGCAATCACCAATTTATAAGCTGCACCCCAGCCCCAGCCCCAGCCAAGCCCTCTTTCCCTCCTCATGAGGTGACCTATCTGGCACTGTCACCAACATCCAGCCAGACACCGAGAAGCATGGTTGTATCCAGTCCTGGACAGAGCCTTGGAAGCCGTGAGGGTATGTAAATCTTTCCGTAAATTACTGTCAAACGCCAGTACTCAAACACTTCTGTGTTGGAAACAATTCAGTTCACCACTAACGAAAATGTTTGGCAAAATTCTGCTTCCCTTTTCAAATTCTGTATCCAGCGACAAACGACCACAGCCTTCTTCCCCGCATGGCCAGAACCACTGCCATCTCCTCCAAAATTGTACAGCAAATTCAGCTGGCAAACTGAGGCACTACTGTATCGGCCACAGTGACAGGGGCCACCGGGTGGCCCCTCATCATCCTTCCTGCATGGACGTCATGGCAGTCGTTCCCTTCCCAACACACTCGGGCTCTGACAGACACCGAGATCAAGCCAGTTTCATCCCAGCAAAGTAAGTAAAATGATATCCCATGAGCATCTCAACAGATGAAGAAAAACTTGACAAAATTCAACATCCCTTCTCGATAAAAACTATTAAGAAACTGGGTTTAGAAGGATCTTGGAATTTGTAGGGGTTTTTGTTGTTGTTGTTTTGGTACCAGGAATGGAATTCAGGACCTTGTGCTTGCCAGGCAGGTGCTGTGCCACGCTCTGAGCTATCGCCTTGGCCCTGGTTTAAAAGGATCTTATTCCAATACAATTAAAATGATAGTGTGTATAAGAACCTTCTGAAAAAAAGAGAAAGAGAGAGCCAGGGAGATAGCTCAGCAAAATAAGTGCTTGCCTGGCAAGTGTAGGGTCCTGAGTTCAATCCCTGGTACCACAGAAAAAAGAGAAAGAAAAGACACTGGAAGATGGAAAGCCCTCCCATGCTCATAGACTGGCTGAACTAATATTGCTAAAATGGCCATATTACCAAAAGAGATCTACACAGTCAATGCAGTCCTTATGAAGATACCAAAGCCATTTTTCACAGAACTAGGAAGAAAAACTACTAAAATTTATACAGAAGCACAAAGACCCAGAGCAGCCAAAACAACTCTAAACACAAAGAGCAAGGCTGGAGGTTTCACAATACCAATTTCAAAAATATACCACAAAGTCACAGGAGCTCACAGTGCTAGCACAAACCAGGACTAGGAAAGCACACACCCACCCACACCCCTCCAGCCATCTGGTTGTCGGCAGGCGGCCCCAAAGTGTATGGCGAAGAAAGCCTCTTTACAAGCAGTGCCGGAAGAACTGGACATCCAGAGACTGGGTGTGGTGGCGCATGCCTGTAATCCTGGCTCTTGGGAGGCTGTAAATAGGCGGATCACTAAAAGTCTTATCTAGTAGTGAGACCCTGAATACCCTGTAGGCCCTTCCCTAAAATACCAAAAAAGAAAAGAACTGGCTATCCATATGTGGACGCTTGAAACAAGAACCTTGTCCCTCAACTTATACAAACACCAATTCAAGACACTGGGTGTGGTGCGCGCACTGTAATCCCAGCTCTTGGGAGGCTGTAAACAGGCGGGTCATTACGAGTCTGATCTAGTAGTGAGACCCTGAACACCCTGTTGACCTTCCCAAAAATTAAAAAAGGGCAACATAATTTGAACAAATATCTCTCAATAAATATTTGAGCAAAATCCTTTGTATAGAGTTTGATGAAAGTGGTAAGTTTTATAACGGTCAAATTTTTATTATAAGAATGGAAATGATATTTCTAGATCTCTACATCCTGTGGCAGAAGCTGACTTGAGTGATTTTTTAAAATTATAAAACACTGGGGCTGGCGAGAACACCTGCTTAGGCAAACTTAGGCAAGCACAGGGACCGTGATTTGATCTCTGGCACCACATGCCGTACCAGCCCTGCCCACACCAGCTGGTGGCGGCAACAACAGCAGCAGCAACAAAAAACTGAAGATAGATTTTTGAGGGTTTTTTTTTCATTGTTAAATAACCTCCAGGGGAAAAATGTGGGCTAGATGTTTTCTTCCATTCATGCACTACCATACTCACAACCCAGTCTAGGCCCTCCTCTTTCCTAATGTTTTATTTATTTTATTTTATTTATTTTTTGGCGGAACCAGGGATTGAACTCTGATCCTTGTGTTTGCCAGTCAAGCGCTTATCCTACTGAGCCATCTCCCCGGCCCCTTTCCTAATGTTTTAGAACTTTGGTTCAGACATCCTCTGCAGAAGATTTCCTATGCTCCACAGAAAGTTAGCCTTTTCATATGAATAGGAATTATACCTGGATTATTTCCAAGTTTGGATTTCTATTGTAAGATATGTTTTATGTTTCTTTCAATAAAGTTGAACTGACTCAAAAAAAAAAAAAAAAAAAATTCAAAATGGTTCAAAGACCTGAAACTGAAAATCCTACAAGACAATGTGGGAAACAATCAAAATCAGAGGCAAAGGCAAAGAGTTTCTGATTAGGCCTCCAGTAGCACAGAGACAATAGCAAGAATCAACAAATGGAATCACGTCAAATTAAACAGCTTACAGAATGAGACTAGGCCAGTGAATATGAGCTAATACATTAAAAGATTTTATATATTACATAGATAAATTTGATCTCTGTAAAATATTTTTTTTTCTTTCTTTGCAGAGCTGGGGATGGAACCTAGAGCCTCACACATGCCAGACAAGAGCTATACCACTGAGCAACATTAACCCTAACTTTATTTTATTTTATTTATTTATTTATTTGCGGAACCAGGAATTGAACTCAGGCTCTTGCACTTGCCAGGGAAGCACTTATTCCACTGAGCCATCTCCCCAGTCCAACCCTAACTTTAACAAAACAGAACCAAGTCAAGGACATCCTCTTCCCTAGCATGTGATTGGCTTGTAATAAGGCTATGGTTCATGAAATTTAATTCACACTTAACTGTAGCCTCTACCTACTTACACATTAACGTAGACCCACATCTGGTCTCTTTTAGGAAGTCACTACAATGAATAAAATGTCCCCACAGGAGCAGCGTACCCACCTTTCACTTTCATTGTTGCCCAGAAATGTTCCAAATTGTGAGGCATAAGCATGCTCAAAGAGCATGATGAGGAAATGCTCGTTGAATTCAAAAGAACAAGGGAATTGACGGAGTATCTGCCACACACAGTCCAAGAAGAGAAGGAACACAGGTGCCTCCCACTTCTGCTTACTGCTGCAGTAGGCCGACTGCGCACAGCGCTGCTGGAATGGGTGGCCAGCCTGGGAGAAAAGGGGGAGAGATGTGACTGTCGTAGCTGAGAAACCACAGCACAGCGCACTGCACTAACCTGCGGGAGCATCACAGAGCAGGACAGCTCCGCTTCCATGCACTAGTGTTTTAAATGAGTGACTGCAGCACCTACGGAAAGTGAATTTCCAAACCCTTAGCAAGGCTGTGCAGTGAGGACATGGCCACAGGAGCTGCACCTGCCTTTGGGGTAGTGAATAAAATAATGAACTTGGAAAATGACAATTGGATGAAAATGAACCTTTCGAGATCTGCAGTAGGGACAAAGAACATGGCCCTTGAGTATAAAACAAAGGACAATCACTTCTTTTGATCAGAAAGTGGCAGCTGTGCTGCACAAACTAGGTAACCCTTGTCACCGTGCAGAGACCCCCAGCACTCAGCAAACTAACTGCAGAAGTCAGTCTGGGCTCAACGCTATTGTCTGGAAGAGATCTTAATGAGGATTTTTTTTTTTTTTTTCTCTCTCCGAATGCCTTCAGGGCAGGTTTGGCTGGCTTCAGTTGTGGGGAT